AAATTGTTCTGTTCTAGGTTTCAAATCCTACTCCAGATCTTAAGAAATATATGTTGGTTTTCAAGACAAGTCTTGAATGTCTTGGTGATACAACAATCCAGGCTGAAATGCACATCACATCTTCATTATTAGTAAAGGATGCATCACCTTAAATGACCTGTATTTGCTCAAGAAGCCTTCATATATATTTATATCTATTAGTCATTTTAATAGTGAAAAGGTAATTTGGGTTTATGATAAGGTTATTTGTGGCAGGAATTTCCATCGTACAGCCGAGTTCTCCATCTCCTCTGTGTACTCAGCACAGTAAAGCCAGCATTCTGCTTAAAAACACACCAATATTCTTCAGTTCCAGTATGGGCAAAGATCTCACTTTCCAAAAGTGGATTTGGAAGCTTCCCAGATAAACATCTGCCCTTTCTTTTTACGTTACACCTCGAAAACTGAAGCTGACCAGAAATATCATAAGAATTAATAATCTCTCCAAAATGTGCTACCTACTTTCTCTCTCTAAATAACATCTGGATTTTCTTCGGAGTGGCTGGCTGTGTAACTTGGAAACACATGCCAGAACATCTGTAAGTTAGCTACATATTGCAAAGCATCTGCAACTTAGAGCTCATGGGAATTCCTTGAATTATGGTATAGGGAGCACCAGGGAGCAGGAGGGAAGAGGAAAGAAGAGTAGGCAAAAACCCAAAGTCCTTGTGCTGCACTGTTTGCATGAAGGAAAAATAATAACAAAATGAGGGTAAGAATGATGAATGATTACATCATTCAACTAATCAGCATTGTAGAGCTGCAGCTCATTTATAATCAGAAGAAATACAATTTTGATCATCTTAGTACAGATTTTCAAAATGCTGTCATTCAGGATTCATGCATCATTATCATAACTGCATACAAAACTCAGACTGAAAATGTTTCTTCCAGATTCGTTCTTGCTGTTGCCAATCTTCTATGAACTATCACCTTGTCATAAACTGGAAAATTCTTCATTTTTCTTTTAGCTCAAAGTCAAAAATACCTTTAGGTGATAAGGACTTTGTACCGTCCCTGCCAGTCACCCACTGTCTTTATCAACTCTCTCCACAGAAATTATCAAAGACTTTTATTTTGAACAATCCCATTGAACTGGGATTGAACCAATTTGAATTTACAAATTCATGATGAATGGATGATGAACTAAAAAAAAGCAGAAAAACAGTTATCTAAACTACCTTAGTAGAGCAACAAACACTGTATATTTTTATATAAAAACCTAAAAAGGGGCTTTAATATGTCAAACCATTAGCTCAGTTGCCTGCCCCTGAGAGTGGCAATGGGCAATACTGTGGGAGGTGAGCGCACGAGTCATTATCTGCAATCCATTCATCTCGTACTCCCTTAGCATCTGCAATCATTGGATCAGGGATGGTCATTATGCTTGCCTATATACTTACCTATTTCTGGTTTAGATATGAATGTGAGAGAGTACATACTTACTTATTCCTCTCATCATCTGTTTATAGATCTTCAGTCCACGAATTTCTGTCTAACTCTCTAGAGAGGAAATACCTAATCACAAAATAAATTAATAGGATGAGCCTTAGAGTTTGAATTTGTATGCCCTAGTCAAGAGAATAAACAGACTAGAAGACATTTGTGGTAAAAGGGCTTTTCACTGCTCCCACCAAGCCAGGCCACAGCATAACAAGGCCAAGAGGAGAGTACCAAACTGTGACAAAGCAATCTTGTGGCTGCACTCCATGTCCCTGGGATTTTTTTGTGTATGTATCATTACATGTAAACTAGATAAAAGACTGAAACAACTCTGGAGCAAAGATCAGGAGCCCCCTGCAGCTGAGTGCCTTAGTTTCTGTAGCTTGCAACCAGCATCCTCAAGTCCACTCAGAAGTCAAAACTAACGTAACCTCTCACCAAAGTTTCTGATAAAAAGAGTACTGCAGGGAAAACAAACAAAAAAAACCAAACAGAACTCTTATCTTTCCCATAAAGCACCCTTAAAGTCTGACAGGGAAGCTAAGATGCAGTTGCAAGCCAAGATATATTCTCTAACTGCCACTGCTTGCTCTCTTGAGCTGAACGTCTATTTTGAGAAGTGACTGAGGAAAAACAAACCAGCCTCATTTTCAGTGTTTATTCATTTGTGGTCTATGAACTATTAGTTTCATTGGTATTGCCCAATAAAAATCAACAAGATTACATGAGTGTCACTGGAGACACAATTTGAAAACAAGGAGAGTGGGCAGCTCTTTCACAGCTGGCATGACCACAGATACACTACTGGTCAGTTTAAGTAAGGATCCAACTTCACTGGGGCTGAGAATATATGTTCACTGACATAAACAGAGCTCGTTTGCATGAAAAACCAATCAACTGAAGTGCAGAAGAGTTAGATAATGGGCTAAAGGCTGGGATCACTTAGGACACTCTTTCTAGTCATACTTTCCTTATAGCATTTTTCACTCCTGAGAAGAACTGCACCCTGAACACTGGCCTGCACTTCTCTCGGGTGTCCTGTAGGTCAGGCTGCTGTAATACTTCCTAGAGTTAATTTCTTTTCCTCACTCTTGGACAGAGTTTTCGCATGAAAGAAGCGATGGCAGGTTCAGCAGAGAGCTTTCGGTAAAGACCTAAACAAAAAGCTGACAGTGGTTTGTGGGTTACACTTTCAGAAGGGTACATTTTGTTCTTGCTGGTGTCAGTCCAAAATAACAACAGTCTAAAGTTTACTGGAATTTATGCTGGCTTACACCAGCAGAAGTAAAAGTGAACTAGTGTCAAGAGACAAATACATTTTGTTGGTGAAGGGAGAGAGATGTGCAGTTTCAATTCAAAAATCTCTCATAACCTCTGGTAAGGGGCAGCATCAGTCTTCAGAACCAACTTTAAAAAGCATGGCACTTGTGCCGGTAGCATTCGGTTATTTTTATTCTATATTCTATTTCATCTTCAAAACAAAGTTAAAGCACTAACTTTGATCTTAATCTGTGTGGAAAATTCTTCTCAATTTATAAGCTTTCAATCAAGATTTTACCAATAGTTTTATTTTCATAAAAAAAAATAAAATAAAATTAACATGACATTTAATTGATTTTTACTTTATTTTCAGCTAACTCAAATGAAAATCTACTTCATATTTTTTTCTGTAATGTAAACTCATACTGATAAAAGTGATATATATAAGTTCTCCAAGTATTCATGTTCTTTCATAGACATCTTTATGTTAAGCATATGGGTGTAAGAGGAGAACAATTTCCTAATAGTGACATTTGTAATATGGAAGGTTTGCATTGCCATAATGTGGAATGCAACATTTTTTCCCCCCTCAGGAATGAGAAAAGAGACGTGTAACAATAATTTCTTACCAGCAAGAACAGCTGAGATGCAGTAAAGACCAGTCAGCCACAAAATAATTGCTTTAAACCTGCACCTGCTTTTGGGGGAATTTTGGATTTTTTCTAATTTAAAGAGACGGATGCTAGGAGGTCAGGATAAGGTAAAGCATACTGAGGACAGAGAGAGCCTAAATCCAGAGTGGGGCTATGCAACTGTCTCTTCTGGGATAGGTGAATAAAATAAAAAAGAATGTATGCTTTCAAAAAATAGCTTTTTGCACACCATTGCAATGTAACACTTTTTTAAACTGATGATTAAAGCATGGAAAGTTCATCCTACTAACCTGGATCTTTTGTATTTTTAACCAAATTTCAAACAGCTAATGGTTAAACTAGAGGCATAAAAACATTGTGAATACAGAAGCTCCGCTGTCCAAATCCTCCCGCTGTTTGAGAGAAACAGATAGATTGAAAGTTAGTGACAGGTCTGAAAGGTGGGAAAAGGTGGTATCTGCACCTGACCAAAGGCTCACCAGAAAAGAAATAAGACCTTTAGAAGCCCACTTCTGACCAAATTTAAGGGAAATTAGAGGCACAGTGTCACAGGCTGCTTTTGTGATATCCAGCTTTGAAAACCTGCTTGTCTTCACTTTATCAAGCAATAGTGTCTGTAGATCCTGAAGCAGCAGCAAAAATCAGTCCTCTCCTAGAGCTATCCCCTGTTCTCCAAGCACCCCAGCAGAAGGATGAAAGTTACCATTATAAGGATCATTTCTAGGATCCCAAAAGGGCGAAGTAGTCTGAGAGAGGTTAAATCTCCTCACTCAGGAGGCCATCACTGAGGTAGTGTGCCCATGTTTTGGTACTCAGTGAGAGGGATGGGTGGAGGATGTCCAGTGGCAGGTCACTAAACCACTTATGGGGGTTGGAGCACAACATCTGAAGAGAGGGCAAAGACACTGTGGGTATTTTGCCTGGAGAGGAGGCAGCTAAAGGGAAATCTAGTGGCAGTCTTCAGTTACCTGAACAGGGCTCAGAGAGAAGACTGATCCCAACTCTTCTGAGAAGTGCATGGCAAAAGGACAAGGGGCAATGGACACAAATTGCAACAGTAAAATTGTGATTGGATGAAAGGAAAATAAAATAACCTGTGAAGGTGGTCAAACATTGAAACACAGACTAGAGAGGTTGTGAAATCTTCTACCTCACACAGATCTGATTGACTTTTGAGGTTAGTCTTGTTTTAAGCACGGATAGGGACTAGATGATGTCCCAAGGTCCTTCCCAACCTCAGAATTATGATGTTATGAAAACCTCAGTGCTATGAATACATTTATACACCGTACAAAGGCAGGATAAAACAGATGTCTAGCACAAAGAGGAAACTTTGGTAGCACTTGCTGCTTAGGGATGGGTTTTTTGTGTCTACACTCTCAAGGAAACTCTGAATATGAAGATGACTGGGATAAGAGAAGTCTATGTATATCTAATGTACAGCTTTTTCAAATATTTGTTGAATATCTGTTCGGAAAAAAACCCAAATTTTTCACTCCAATGGGAGAAAATCTGCACCCACTCACCTTCTCCAATTCTTTTATGTGTATGCTATTCCAAAGCAATACACTCTTTGAATTAAAAGGATCAAAAATATTCTACTCAGAAGCTTGTGACATAATTTTATTGTATTTTGTAGCATTCTTTCCATGACATGCCTAATACAACACTTGTAATCACTACTGAAAGGATTGTATGAGGGCATTCACTGCACTTACAGCCAAATTTGATAACCAGTAAGCAAAGAGGCAGTTACAGTTCTTATTGTTCTATTTTATTTTTTGTAAGTGAGCATTTAATGTCCAGAATAGCAGCCCAGGATCAGAACAAACTTACTGTCCTTAACATTATTATGTTCTAGGTAAATATGAACATATTCTAAATGAAAGATGGTGAAAACCTCATGGTTTGTGGAAGTCCACAAGCGGTTTCATGGAACATTCATATGTGCCTAACCACTGCACATTTCTGTAGCAACACATTTACTAGCTAAATATGGATATATTTGTGCTTATTCCCCTAGATTATTTGTAAAGCATATAACCCATAAGACTAAAACTGAGATTTGTGGGATTTTTCTGAAGTATATGTCAAAAAGAGTTTTGTAGGGGTCTGTTGTCTGTTTTACTTTTCCTTGCTTTGTGTAGGTCAAGTTTTAGTCCTATAACTGGAATAACTTCTCTAAGTGACAGCATAAATGACAGCCATTTATTGTGGGCTTTTCCCAGCAGATATTAAAAAATCTCCTTGAATGCAAGCCCAATAATGCTAGATTATCAAATTACACATCCTGAGCCATTTCAGCTTCCTACACAGAAACTTATTTCCACCTCTCCCTCCCAAAAACCCCAAACCAAACAACAGATGCAGATTAAATTTGCTAAACTTCTACAAATAACTGGCAGCACTGGGACATTGACTGGGATTTGCTATACTTTTGAGTGACCAAACACAGCTTGTTCTTTTGTTGTTCCCCTGTTCAGGTATTTGTTTGCTGTATCTGACCGGATCAGGACTAACAGAAATAAAACACTGTGTGTTATATTTGAAAAAACTACACATACAATCTTAGATACCAAGAACTTTCCATATAATTTCTCTCCTGACACTCAAAACATCTGTCATCATTGTGCCTCATCTTAAAAAAGTTACATTTCTTTTTCTGAGACAAAAATACACTGAGATAGGAGTACAGAATAGCAGAAAAGACTCCCAGTTTACTAGTCTGGCAAGTATATCTCAGAGCTGACACTCCATTGCGAGGGTCAATACAAGGTAGTTTAGCCATCTGAATGTGCTTTACAAATGACAAAAAAAAAATCCAGTTTGTAACTATTGAGAAATATCAGAAGATACTTAGAACATAGTAAAAATTAAACATTTACTGGATTATTTTAAAGTATATTACTAGAACCAACAGGACATAACTTTAAACAATGTATAAAGTATTATACATAAAAATGCATAGATGTACAGTAAATATGTTCATTTATACGTAGACAGAGTAATATGTACACATAGAGTCTGTTGTGCTTCTGTAACTCTAAGCAGTAATTCCTATGGTATATTGTTTTAAAGCAGTTTTATTATACAACTGTTTCAATGTAGCAGGTGCTGAGAACAACATACATTAACACTAAGTAGGTAAGTCATATCGTTTTACTCTTGAAATGTACAAATACAGGAAACAAAGGCCATAAATGCAACAGTACCTACACCTCCAAGACTTCTTTTTTAAAAAAAAATTATTTAAATATGCACAAGTCCGCCTAATGGTGGTACATAGGTTTCTTTCCTGCTTCCTTTTCATGTCAACACACTGACCATGCACTTGGAACAAAATCTTTGATGCACTTCAGCACCAATTCCACTGATTCAACTCAGTGCTCTCCTGAACTTGAAGTCTTCAGGTCAAAAATGAGAAGAAAAATATAAAATAAAAAATATATAAATAAAACAAACAAGCTTGTGGGCTTTTTTTTTTTCACAAGTTATTTGCCACCAATACTGTCAAAGCAGCTGAATCGTAGTGCATCCATGGGCAGGAGCATGTAGCAGCTTTTGTGCACTTCGCAAAAAAAAATATATTAATGAAAATCAAGTCTTTACTGGCTTGTTTTATCTGTTGCTAAGAAGATGCTGTGCTGCTTCTGAGCCCTTTCCATCAAATTCTTTTTCTTCTTTTTCTTTTCCTTTGTTTTTGCTGGCCTTCTTCCTAAAGTAAAAAGGAAAAACAATATCAGAGTCAATTAAGTAAAGAATACAGAAGTGATATTAGACTGCATCCGAAAAACTCAGTCGCACAGAAATTATTGACGGAGACTGCAAAGGTAACGCTAATGGCTAATGAGCTTTGATCGTCAGTGAAAACAGAAGTTTTCAATGATGCGGTAGAAGAGGAAGCAGGATCCTTGACTGTCATCACTCGTCCGCAGGCACGGTTTTGCTGGTGTGAGTAACTGTGTTGATGTAGGTCTCGCTTTGGGCAGGGTAACTCACGCAAGCAAAGTTATGCAAGTGCCTGGGGCCCAGCGCCAAGCGAGTACGTAGACTCCTAACTCACTGGAAGCTGGATGCCTGCCTTAGAGCCTTGCGTAAACTTGCTTGAGTGAGTAATCCTACTTAAGTCAAGTCCAATATATCCGTGATTTCTACGAGAAGTTAGGTATTACAGCCCAAGTATTAGGTTGGATGTCATCCTACGTGCTTTGGCAGGAACAGTGCTGCTTCTGCGAAGAACTGCTATTATTGCTTATTAGTGCACTGTGCCTCATTCTCACAGCATATTACTGTGCAGAAACAAAAATTTCATTACACACTCTGTTATTGGAAGATCACTGAAAAATAACCAAAATCAGGCAATCAGGATCGATGCAGGAAAAAAAATTCTCAGACTCCTGTTATAGGTAAGTTTTTTCCTGTTCAGCTCTAACAATAAATCAGTGCCCTTTAGTTCTCTCAGCAAAGATAGCATGGACTGAAAAAAATGCTAGATATAAAGGCCCACATTCAGCAATGCATTACCTTTTAAGTATATGCTTAAATCCTATCAACTCTAGTAGGATTTAAGGAGACGACCGAATGCTGTCTGGAGTGAGAACAGTCTGGGTTTTCTTGGCAGTATCATTTACTGAAATATGTGATCAATGGTAAAAAAATAAGGTTATTAATCTCTAGAGGTGCCAGCATTGTAAACTTTCAGGAGAACTAAATTAACTTAAGACAGTAAAAGGAAATTCAAGTAGCAGACAACACAAAAATGTGAAAAATGCATTTTTCATCTACAATGTCAGTACGTTATTGATTAGGAGAAATATTTGCCAGTCTGGTTTTGTCTTACTTCCATATTGTTTCTTAACTAAAAAGGCCCAAGTCAGTATGAAGCATTTTTCTCTATTTGATAATAACACTGAATAAATCCAATTCTAAAATTATCAAAATTTACAATTCATTAAAAATAGAGGGTTATATACTTGAGATTATGTATTTGTAATATGCAGTCTAGGCTACTATTCTCTAGGAATTATTGGAATACTCGTATATAAATTAGGACAGGACATTAAGATAATGAGCACATAAGTTCAGTCCATATTAAAATCATAAGGGTACTTGGACTTCACTTCTGCTTCTCATTAAAGTCTGGCATTAATGCTACTGTGGCATTTTGCCATTTTTAAATCTAGCTAATCCTACACAGTAAAACCTCAGTCCAACCAATCATTAATCAAAGCAGCTTCTAAGTTAAAACTCTTTAGTAAAACGGTATCTAATGACTAGGCACACCTAATGAGGTCAGAGGGAAGGAATACTTGACACAAAGTGGCATTACAACAAGATGGTTTCAATTACACAAATTTCCATATCAAAATTTTATTATGGGGTTCTACGAGTTGGTATATTGTAAGGTAATAGAACTGGGATGAATGTATAGTAGTCTATCTTGCACTTTAAATATTCTGATTTTCTTAGCCTGAATGAAATATTTTTTAAGAAAGAAGTAGATGAGATGAAACAATTTGAAATGAGTGACAACAATGCTCATCAGAAGCAGAATCAACTAGACCTTTAGTGGAGTTTTGCTATCCTGTTTGCTCAGGAAAACCTGACGTTTTTCACTGTACAGACAAATTAGTAAAAGAAATATAAACTCTAGTCAGTGCCACATCTAGTTCTCTCCATGATCTCCTCCAGAGAACTATGGTAAATGCTTACTGTAAGTTAAAGGAAGATTCTATTCTTTTTCCCCTCAAAAGCACAGATAAAATACACTTAATCCACTCAGTAGCTATTTGTCTAAGCCTTACAAAGTAAGGCCATAACGAGCATCAAAGCAAATTGCCAGCATGCTCCCCATACAATATCCTTAAAATAGAAATAAACTAGACTAGATTTCCATGATTTGACATGTCATTGTGCAAAAAACCACCCTACTGTGCTTCTGCTGCTCTGCAGCCATCGTCCCCACGCCTGTTTTTGACCCACAGCACAGCGAAGGCAATTATTTCCTTTTACTCGTGCCATGGAGTACCAACCCGTGCAGAGGCAGTACCACCGAGCCGTTGACACCTGATAACTTGTTCTGTTAGTGAGCTCTTTGGCTGCTCACTATGTTTCCAAGCTCCCTGTTGTACAGAATGTTTCATTATTTCCAGGACAATTTTAAACATCACAGAGAAAATCCAGATGGCTGGCGAGGCTAACAGCGTCCCAAACTCCAACTTCCATTTTAACCAGAAAACTAAATATAAAAGGCATTTTTTAGCTAACCTCAGGTTCCCATATTGCTACTAGAATGCAATAGAGATTAGAGATTAGCAAGAAAAAGTGACTCTAAAGACTAGAGAGTTCAAAGCATGCTGCTGAAGTCCCCACACATGAAAACATTTATTAAATTCAGATTTCAATTACAGTGCTTATTTTGTCAGCAGAAGCACAGTGAACTGAAATCACCTCCAAATATCTTGCTACAGACCTCTTTTGAAGAACATGATTTTGTGCTACAAAAAGTAGATCCTCAAAGAGGATCTGGGAGCCAAACTCTTCCAGTTGCCCAACTGGAGGGCAGTGGGGTAAGGAGAGCCAATGGAGGAGATGCTCCCCTGGGGCCGGGATGGCAGGTGCTCCCTCCACTCAGTGCCAGGGGTTGGGTGTGGAGACCCTGGTGGGCAGGGAGTCTTCCTCATATGGCCTGCCTCACACCTTGCCACCTCACTGCTCCTGAGAGCAAGACCTGACCCCAAGCCCCCTCACCGTGGGAAGCAGCATGGCTCTGACTCTCTAGACTTTGCTGGGGCAGTTGAAAAAGAGTGGAGTCTTAGCAGCAGTGTATTATAGCCCAGAACTTGCTGTTGCACACAGAAGGCAATTCCTGGCTAAAGTAAATGATAAGGAAAAGGACTCCATCCTTCTAGAGGGGTTTTATCACTACCAGTAACAAGTTATAGTATTACCACAGAAAGTGACAATATCTGAGATGTTAAGTCTAATCCACCTATCCCATAAACTCCTCCTGATTAGAAACAGCATCCAAGTGAGTAAATTGTCCAGCACAGCCGCCTGGGACCCGCAGCCAGGACCACCCTTTAAGTGACATTACATCTTTCCCAGTGACAACTCACCTGTTTCTTATCTGGCAGATAGCCACCCGACTTGCTTCTCCTCTCCAAGTCACAGGCCTCCACATCAGGTCTCATGCTCAATCGTTATTTTATGCCTGCAGACAATCTATTTTTGATAGCCTTTGGTGTTAACAGCAATGGAAGCAAATACAATAATTCATGCGAAGAGCAGGACATCCGAGCACTGCTCAGGTTACTGTTTTCCTATTTTTATTTTTATTGCATTTTCCCTTGCATGCTAACTTTTCCTTGAAAAACATTTTTTTGTCTCTGGCTGTCATTTTCAGTTAACAGAGTCAGCTCTGAACATAATTTTCAGAACTTGTTTAATACTCTGTGAAGTCCTGTGTATGCACTGAAATGCATAGGGCCTAAGAAAGATCTGAAACCTAGCTGGATTTGGTGTTCAACTATCTAGAAAATAAAAGCCTTAAAAGCTTATCTATCATTCTGTATCTCATATTTCTGCCGGGTTATTTTACCTTGTATTGCAATGTTATAAAATCCAGTTTTGCTATTTGCTTTACAAATTACCTATGAGTAAGTCCTCATTTTCTAAGTAACTTATCCCAGTGATTGATATTCATTAAAATTGTGTCTGGACCACTTGGTTCTGGTAACTGGTAACTAATATGCCATGCAATGAAACATTGTAGTTAGCTAACAATGTACCACAACTTCTAACTGTATGATAACATATAGGAAATGGTACAATAATATATAGGTAATAATGCAATTCCAACATGAATTTCTGAAAAAAATATTATTTATGCTAATAAATCCACAGCAATTGCCTGTTCAACAGAGAGTAACAGCTACAAAAACAATTGTTTGACTTCACTCTTGCTGGATTATTTTTCTTTCTTTTTATTGTTTTTTGTACCATTTTATCAGTGTTGCTCCTACAGCAGCTACAGGCTGGTACATTAGAGACTTGTGCTCTGTTCCCTGCTTTGTCTCTCTGAGGTGTGTGGAAATACTGTGTGTTCCCTCTGGATGGACCCAGCTGGTCAATTCGGGACACACATCACATTATCTGGTTCAGAAGGAGCCTTCATCACCTCCTGTCAGCTGCAAAGGCAGCTTTCTCCAGACAGAGTTGGGCAGCAGATTCCTAACACTCAGGGCACTACTGGCTCTCCAGAACTAAAATGCAGCACATGTATTCACGTTGCTCAAGATTCTTCACTCAGACAGACTCAGCTGAATTGTACTTCATCCGCTGTATAAATACTGTTTATAAAATGTTATATGCACTGCTCTTCTAACAAAATCTGTCCATTGCTAGTTTCAGGAGATGGAGAAAAACCAGTATACATCCACAGGAGGGCAGCAAGGATTTAAATATAAAACATTCAATAAAAGAAAAAAAAAAAGCAACAAGTATCTGCAGCTTTACTTCACCATGAAGTTTCTTCACAGAATTTCAGCATTTTCACACAAATTATTATTTTAGACACAAGAAAAGTTAAATGCTCCCTTCTTTCTCTTGTATGGATGACTACTGAATAATGGGACCTAAAGGTGTCTGCCTGCTTCCCTTCCCTAGATTTTCAAATGCAGAACTTTCAGTACTAGCAGCAAAAGCACAATGGTG